AACTGAGGGTTACAGAAGGGAGGGGGGTGGGAGGATGGGGTAACCAGGTGATGGGTATTAGGGAGGGCACATGTTGTGATGAGCACTGGGTGTTATACGCAACTAATGAATTGTTGAACACACATCAAAAACCAATGATGTACTCTATGTTGGGCATATTTCTCTATTAAATCAGTTAACAGTATAGTCTTGCTTTATAATTATAAATGGATATATTATCCATTGATGAACTCTAATTTTAAATATTTTCCTCTAAGATTATTACTATAAATTTTCTACCCTTTTCTCCTCCTCAGTATACTTGGGAAACTTATTTTGGGCATTTAAGCCAAACCTGATGTTTGTAGGTTAGAAAATGTTTGAACTGCATTCAACAAATGCAGTATAGTGGAATACCATTTTGAGTTAATAAAAAGTTGAAAATTGAATCTAAATTACTCTTAGAAAACTGGTGAAGTTTGGATGATACAGTTTTAGAACTGTCCCAGCTTTTGTCTTTGTGTGCAGGCAGTATGAAATTTATGAGGTTATAAAAAGCATGATTATTCCTTCTTAGTTCCAACTTTTGGCTAGCTTGCTTATTAGTTTTCTCCATCATTAGGATGATGGAGAGGTTTTTCCCTACGTGAGTAGCAGAGAGGCTGTGGGTTTACCTCATCTCATTCTTCATAATCACAGACTTTGCTAAGCATCTTGTAGAATGTGGGCTGTGTACACAATTCTATATATTATGGGTAAAAGTTATAATACTGAATAAATCTGGACTTTGTGAAATTTACTAGGGTAAGATAAAAAGGTGTTTTATTAATTTTTATAATAAGATGTAAAATTGTATTTTTCACTCTTCAAAGTAAGTGTGGAAATTAAATGATGATATTAGACATTAACCTTTGTCATTTAATACATATTTAGAAGAAGATTGTTGAATTTATATATATTATCTAATGATTGAGAAGTTAATTTTGATATGGAAGGAAGATGTGGTATATGAATGAAAAAGAGAAAAGTTGTTGAATCAAAGCAAGTAAAGATTAATAGTTTGTGGGAAAGTGATTGTAGAGAAACATTCATTCCAGAATTTTTTCAAGTTGATCAACTATTCTTGCAAATAGATAATATAAAGACAAAGATGATATAAAGTTGTTAAAAATAAAAATGACAGTATTTTTCTTATTTAATGTTTCTGACAGATTAAACTTTATTTTACAGATATAATAAAATATTTCCTGTTAAGTTGTAAAGTATTATTAATATAAAATGGTTGAATTTTAAGTTTAATTTTAAATTTTTGTTGTAAATGCAGAATATGATTATTCCAACGATCATTCTTCTTCCATTGTATTTAATTAAACTTTGCTTTAAATTGAATTCTCTCATTTAAAACTTGAAATGAAAAATATAAAACAAATTTTCATTTTTTCATTTTGAAACTAATATATTGACTAAAAATTTTTCAGTACCAATTTATTATTTAGTCTAATATAGAATACAACTATGCAAAACTTCATTGTCTATGTAAAAGATGTTTTGTTTTCCTTTTTCAGTATGCTACACTTGATTACTTTTGAGATTTTTTTTCTCTTTTTGTTCTCAATTATTACTACCATAATTAGAATACAGAACATTTTATATTCTGGAGATGTACTTAGTTTGCCGTCCCCCCTCCTTCTTATAGACCACCAAGATTAATGGGAGAAGGATTTGTGGTGATGCAGTCAAATGATGTTGACATCTACTACTACATGGATGAACCAGGTATTAGTCTTTGAAAGTGTGTTTCATAGCTACACTTCTATTCTATGAAATGTTGATATTTAATAATATTTTAAGTCTTCTTAGGATAAAATGAACATCAATAAATCGTAAATGTGGATGGAAGAGTACCTACCTAAAAATTGTCTGTGTCATTTATCAAAAATTGAATATTACTATTTCAGACCAAAGGAACAATATAGGAATCTTTTGTTCTATTTTCAGAAGTGTACCTCAAAAATTGTGACTGCAAGTAACCTGGTCTGAAAACCTTTAGAGAATGTGGTGACAGTTAAGGTAGTTCATGCTAGCTTAAAAAAAAAAATCCTTTGAGGCTTGAAGTTTAAGGATTGAAATCTAGCTGGTTAGAGTGCTTCACAGGTGGCTTGAATTTTATGAAAGTAGCTAAACATTGGATTTTTAAGCCTTTTTCCCTAGTTCTGGTTTTTTATGCCTTTCATGGGGTTTATGAGGTCAGAGTATTTTCAGAGTAAAACTAGGATATTACTTGCCTTTTTCACCATGTGACATTTGCACTGCTGGTACAAAAGCAATGGTGGGTGAAAGTTTTGGTGCTTTAGCATGAATTAAGGCAGTGGTTCCAAACTGTACTGGTCATCACTGTCTTTTTCACTGCCACCCATTTACAGTAAAACAAATGCCAGTATCAGTTTAAAAACTTTGATTAAGCAGTAAAAATTGTTTTTGTCAAATCTTGACCCTTGAATAAACTTTTTAATATTCGGTGTGAAAAAACGGCAAGTACACATAATGTACTTCTGCTACATACCAAAGTATACTGATGTTTGGAGGAAAAGCACTTGTATAGTTGAGTTTCTAGCTGAATTATTTGCTCTTTTCATGGAGCACCAGTTTTACTTGAAGGAGTAACTAGAGACAAATGATTTTGAGTTTCCATATGAGAATAGAATTTTGGAAAATTTGGGTCTACCACTGTGAGTTTAAGGACTTTTCTGATAAGACCACCAGTGATATTAACAAATGTGATTTTAAAAATGTTTAATGATGAAATTTATCAATATTTGGAAAACATATGTGTGTCCTCTTTGAACCAATATTTTACAAATGCATGATGCTACAAAGTTATGCCATGGGTAAAAGATACATTCAAAGTGTTAGATCAGTAAATTTTAATGTATCAGAGTATGAAAAATTCAGTATAGGGTTTCAGATTCCATATTGCAACTAACTTTTAAGAAACTACCACTTGTTGAATTTTGGCATAGTGTCAGAGAAGAATATCCAAAATTATCTGAAAAAGCTATTAAAATACTCCTCCCTTTTCTATATAGCTATTTGCTTGAGGCTAGGTTTTCTTCAAATCCTTAAACAACAGATTAAATGCAGAAGCAGCTGTGAGAATTTGCTTATTTTCTATTAAGCTGGACATTAAAGAGATTTGCTGAAATAAAAACAATGCCAACACTTATTTCTAAATGAATTAGTTTTAGAAAATATGGTTATTTTTCATTGAAAAGTATTTTCATTAAAAATGGAATTAAAATTTCATTTAATTTTTATAAAATACTTTTTTCATATCATATTTTCATTAAATTTTATTAAATGAAATGTAATGACTTCAATTTTATTTAACATTTCATTACATCAACATGCAATGAGTTGTTAAAATATTTAAAAATTGCTCAATTTCAATTTTGAATACAGTAAATTATGATTGATATAATACCAAAAAATCCCACTGTGCATCCTTGGTAATTTTTAAGAGTGTAAAGGATTACTGAGAGCACAACATTTTTAGAACTCCTGATCTAGGGAAGCTTGAAGCAGTAATTTTAAGTAATTGTCTTTCTGTTGTATATTCTGCAATATAGGACTTGTTCCAGAAGAAACAGAAGAAAATATTGAAGGAGAAATGAGCAGTGAGGATTGCAAATTACAAGATTTGCCTCCATGTTGGGGACTGGATATAGTTTGTGGTAAAGGAACAGATTTCAACTATGGGCCATGGGCCGATAGGCAAAGGTACTTGAGTAAATTATATTTCTAGTAAGTCTTTTAATGTATTAAGATAATGATATAAATTTTATTAAAAAGTAGCTTAATATTTTTATAAGCTATCTTATTATGGCAGAGTAAGATATCACTAAGCATTTTAATTCAAATTAGAAGTTGTAGAGAAATTGGCATAAACAAGTGCACTCTGAAGGAGGGGCTAATTCCATTAGAAAAATGGTGAATGAGGAGCATACTGGTTTCTTTGTTTTTTCTTTTGTATTCAATGAGTTTTCCAGGGATTATTGGGCTGTGGAGATTCAGAGACAAAAGGGATGGGGTGGCTGGGTGATAGACATTGGGGAGGGTATGTGCTATGGTGAGCATTGTGAATTGTGTAAGACTGTTGAATCACAGACCTGTACCTCTGAAACAAATAATACATTATATGTTTAAAAAAAAAAAAAGAAGAAGATAGCAGGAAGGGAAAAATGAAGGGGGGGAAATTGGAGGGGGAGATGAACCATGAGAGACTATGGACTCTGAGAAACAAACTGAGGGTTCTAGAGGGGGTGGGGGGAGGGGGAGAGGGCACGTTCTGCATGGAGCACTGGGTGTTATACACAAACAATGAGTCATGGAACACTACATAAAAAACTAATGATGTAATGTATGGTGATTAACATAACATAATATAAAAAAAAAGATATAGTTCAGTTTTAGTGAGGAAAAAGAAATAAAAGAGTTTTATTAAGGGCTGTAGTAAAGGTAAGTAAAAAGTCTTGATGAAGCACTTAGAAAGGTACTGTACTAGTTTGCTAAGACTGCCATAACAAAGTACCACAGACTGTGTAGTTTAAACAACAGAAGTTTTTCGCGGTTCTGGAGGTTACAATTCTGTGATGAAGGTGTTGATAGGTTTGGTTCCTTCTGAGGGCTGTGAGGGAAGGGTGTATTCAAGCTTCTCTCCTTGGCTTGTAGATGGTCATCTTTTCCCTGGTCTTCCCATGGTCTTCCCTTTAGTGTGTCTTGTAGGACTCTGTGTCTACATTTCCTTGTCTTAGAAGAACACTAGTCATATTGAATTAGGGCCCACCCTAACAACCCCATTTAACTTAATTACCTCTTTTAAGATCCTATCTCTGAACATCAAATTCTCAGGTACTCGAGGTTAGGACTTCAATATATGAATTTTTGGGGGACAAAGTTCTTCCCATAACAGGTACATAACTCATCAGAGAATTGGGGAAGGCTTTTTAGTAGAGGTAATATGTGAGTTGAATTTTGAAACCTAAGTAGGAGTTATCCAACGAAGGAAGAAGACAAATAATTGAGGCAAAGGAATAGTTCTGCAAATGCATGATGACAATGGAGATTTGTCTTATAGTTTCTACAGGTTGTTTGGAGATTTGTAGGTAGTTAAGAAACAGAGACTTTATCCTGGAGGTCGTGGACAGTATCTGAGAGGTTTTTTTATTTTTTTTTATTTTTTAGTCATTCTGGTAATTTTGAAGTAATTCTTATTTTAATTTATTCTAACCACATTTCTACTTATTGAAGAGTTTTAAGCAAAGAAGGGAACATTTACCTCTAATTATGAGGGAACATCTAAATTTTTATGTAAACAGACATTGCCTAAAGTCAGTTTAGTTTTTCTGTACATAAACAAGCTTGACTGGAGAAATACAAGCCAAATCATTCACCGAAGCAGATATTATTGGGCTGTTAATGGACTAATGAAGAGTGCTGATACTGACTTGATATACTGACTCTTTTTATACTTGTTTTAAAAAGTGCTTTCTACCTAGCATTGTTAGAAGAATTATATACTTTGTTAAGTAGCATGTTCTATTAATCTTTGTATCTCTAGTGTATAGTAATACCTGCCTCATCAAATGTAGCTGTTTAACAATTGTATGATAAATGAGTAAGTAAGTTTGTCATTTGAAAACTCTTGCAATGTGCTAATACAATACTTTGTTGAGTTCTGGGTTAGGTTATTTATTAGACTTGAAAGTGAACAGCTTAAAATTTCAGGTTAGGAAACAAATGCTTTTCAAATTACTGAATTTAAATTTTCCTTTTATGATAAAATTTTTCCTGCAGTAAGCCATGCTGTATTTACTATTGAATAGTTGAAGATGAGGGTTTTTACATCCTATTAAGTAACAGTTACATTTATACATTATTATATTTGAAAGAAAAAAATTAAAACAATGCTTTAACACAGACACATAAAATGTTTTTGCATGTCTAAGAATAAAGTGTGATTATTCTTAAACTGTATTTAATTTTGTTACATTAAAAAAATATTAGGGCATATTTACATAAAGTCCAAATTAAAATTCTTTTAATATATAGCCATATTCACTTATGAGGTGATCTTTGTATTATATAGAGAAATGACAGTGAAGTTAACATAAAAGAAAAATTTGTTTTATCAATTCTTTTCAGTAGATCCTGCCACTACCAGGAGAGAACAGCAATATCTTTCTTAACCTGGACTTAACAAAACCATTCATTCAGGTTTATTTAAAAAAAAGAAAGAAAAGAAAAAAGAAAAACTTTTCTTTTTTTTTTTTTTAAGATTTTGTTTATTTGAGAGAGAGAGAGACCACAAGTTGGCGGCAGGGGCTGGGGAGAAGGAGAGGGAGAAGCAGACTTCTCACTGAGCAGGGAGCCTGATGCAGGGCTCCATCCCAGGACTCTGAGATCATGACCTGAGCCAAAGACAGGCACTTAACCAATTGAGCCACCCAGGTGCCCCGAAAAACTTATTTTCACGTGGGTTTAGTTTATTAAGAATACTTCGCTCCTCACTTACATGTACAAACAGTGCATTTCCTCTTTTGTAGCCATTTCCTTTTCTTCTTCCCCATTTTCAGTTTCTATACAAATATGGATTGTAACTGGAAATGACTAGTAAGGTCAGTTTTCTTAGCATCCACTAAGATGTAAGAAATTTAGGAAGAAATCTTAACTGTTTTGCTATTGGATAGTTCATTCACTTTTGTGAAGAGATTTTGATCTCTGATATAGAATGACTTGTTAACGTATGGATTTTGATTTCATTCTACCACCTTTACGTGATTTTTCTGAATCTTTAAGATACTCAGCTTTTCCTTAATGATATTTTCTTTCTGAGAATTTTCATGTCAGAGTTGAAATGCAAACTTTATGAGATTTGTACTTTATCCTTAGATAGATAATAATTACAATAACACAAACATTTTCAACATTGTCTAGCCTCTTACTGCTTTCACATAAGTGCTTTTATTTATATTTTCACACTTGATTCTCATAACCCAGTGAGATACATAGGGCAGGTATGGTAAACTTATTATACCTGTGAGAAAATGGAGATGCAGAGAGGTTCAGTGATTTCGGCAAGATAATGATGCTATAGCCATCTAGTACTAACATTCAATCCAGCCTTTCAAGTCCACTGCTCTTTTCATTATATCCTGCTACCCACTAAACAGTCCATTTTCATTCAATGATCATATTGGACTTTTTTTGTCTTTAATAGTCTTAGTTTCATGTATTTGTATGTTGTAGCCAAAACATTTGCAGAACTTTATTTTTCTTTCATACACACTTACTTAATGATGGCAAGTTATAGTCTATAATGGGTCAGTTTGCAACTTTTGTTCTGTTCATATAATTTTTCCCTATCTTATTTATTCCAAGTAGCATTTTCTGTTACTTTTTCAACCCTTCCTGTTTAAAAGCTATAAACTGGCACCTTCTCTGAATGTATGAATAACATTACATTAATTTTGACTCTGAAATGGAAATTCCTTGGGTTCTTTCATCTTTGTGAAATGATGAGGGGAGGCAAATGTATTAGAGCCTTAGCTTCTTTACTTTTTAGAGATCTATTGCTTTTTAGACTCTTTTTGATAGATTATTGATTGAAAATAATGATTATAAGGGACACCTGGGTGGCTCAGTTGGTTAAGCATCTGCCTTTTGATTTCAGCTCAGGGCATGATCTCAGGGTTATGAGGTCAAGCCCTGCATCAGGCTCCATGCTGAGCATGGAGCCTGCTTAAGATTCTCTCTCTCCCTCTCACTTTGCCCCTCTCCCCCTCTAAAAGATAATAAATGATTATAAAAATAAAATAAATAATAGCCACTTTATCTAGCATCATGTACTGCCAAGTCTTTTCCATATATGTTGTCATTTAATCCTCAGATCTAGTCTATGAGGCCAGTTATCTTATTCCTATTTTGCAGATGAGAAAGCAGGTCAGGTGTCCTCAGAAAGGCTAAGTAACTCATCCATAGTGTAATGATTCTAATTAAACCATCCTCCTTTAGTTCTTTGCTTTTTGATATGCTTGTAGGAAGTCTTAAATTTCTCACAGTATGCCTCAACAGTGTAAATTTGTTCTTACCTATATCTCATTTGACAATAGTATATTAAATACTCAAAGCTTGTTGGGGTGCCTGGGTGGCTCAGTCAGTTAAGCGTTGGACTCTTGGTTTCAGCTCAGGTCATGATTTCATGGATCGTGAGATTGAGCCACACATTGGGTTCTGTGCTCAATGAGGGAGTCTGTGTGAAGATTCTCTCCCTCTGCCCTTCCCCATTCTTGTGCATGTGTGTGTTGCGCATACTTGCGCACAGACTCTCTCAAATAAGTAAATAAATCTAAAAAAATACTCAAAGTTTGTTGATTTTTGGAAGTATAAAACATTGGAGAAAAGAGTCTTTCATTTTACTGAAAAGATATTAGAGTAGGTGCTATCTTGTGACTTAATTTTTTTTTCTATTTCATGTCCAATTGTTAAATGAGATAACAGTGATAGTACAAAGTTAGAATATTGATTATGCTCCCTTATAAATGTAATTTTGTTTAAATAACAAGTTATTCTTTATACCTCCTTATATAGAGATTGTTTATGGAAGTTTTTCTTCCCACCTGATTATCAAGTTCTGAAAGTTTCTGAAATTGCACAACCTGGGAGACCACGACAGATCCTTGCTTTTGAACTGCGGATGAATATTATTGCAGATGCTACAATTGATTTGCTGTTTACCAAAAACAGGGTAATTATTGAAATAATAGAGTAGACAGTAGTGTTTAAAATTTAAACATGATTTTCCAGAGTATTTTTCTGGTAACTAGTTCTATACTTAGATTCATTTCTATGAGCCTCCTATCACCCCCCACCACAATAATTGTATATATATTGCTTTCATTAAGTACCAAAAGTAGGAAAAATTAATAAGAAACCTTAATTCTATAGTCTGGTTCATTTTCTTCTTTATATCTGGCCAAATTGTTTTAGTGCATTTTTAGTAAAACTTTGAACTTTTGTTCTTAGGAACTTTTAATACCCATTTCATATCATGGATGATTATATTTTGTCTGTGATAATAACTGAAAAGTAAAGATGGGAGTATGATTAAACAGTGAGAAAATTATTTTATATGGTTTAATTTTTTTCTTTTGGTAGGAAACAAATGCTGTACATGTAAATGTAGGAGCTGGCTCATATTTAGAAATTAATATTCCAATGACAGTTGAGGAAAATGGTAAGCTGCAATGAGTACTTTCCTATTTTAAATGATTAGTAGGGGAATAATTAATCTATAAATAATAGCTTGTTATCTTATTTAGACTAACATAATGGGGTTTTCTTTTTCAGCTTTCTATTATATTAACAGTACATATTAATTACATAATTAAATTTTTTGTGCACCTGGAGAGAAGGGAAAATTTTTTAAATCAAGTTAGGTCTTAGGCTTTCGTTATACCCTATACTTCTTTTTTGTAAGACTGAGCATAATTTGTTTAAAATGTATTTTTCCTATTAGTCTGTTGCTCTGTAAGAGCAGGTGCTGTGTGTTTTTTTAAAATTGATGTAAACTTGGTGCTGAACCCAGTACCTGGCACATGGTATATGGGCAGTATGTGATAGTATGATTGATAGGCTTTGTTTTAGGTTATAGTGTTAATAGATTTTGTCAGGGAATAAACCTGGTACTTTGAAAAATATAACTAAGAAAGCAGAACATTTCATATTTAAAATATTAAATAATATTCTGCTATAGTTTCACCTGAGCTGATCTAAATTCATTATGCATTTGAAATTTTGACTCTGATACAAGTTAATCAATAATGTGATTAAATACATTTTGTTAAATTTATCAAAATATTATATAGCCTTTTTCATTTTCCTTTTTCCTATCCTCTTATTATATTTGTAATTGAGAACAATTAAAATGAAATTCTGCTTTATTCACTTCTTGAGAGAATAGCAACGTACCTGTATTTTTAAGTCACTAACCAACAGTGTTACTATGGCTAAGTATAATTAGAGTAATTTTTATATCATTCTTGGCTCTCTTGTTTTTGTCACCTTTTTTTTGTTGCTGGTATAAGAAAGCAGGTAGCGGGTTGACTACATTCATTAGCTTGTATAAAAAGGTAGCAGTCGGGTCTACCTACTTAGATAATCAGTTGTGAAATAGTGACTGAGAATGGCATAGTGTATCTTTTCCCTGTAACTTTGAGGCTCTTGATGAAGAGTTAAACCTTACCTTTGTTGGTTGTAAAAGAGTGGTCATACTAAGTCTTGAAGCACATGCTTGAGATTCTCTAGGACTGGGTGGTTCAAGAGTAGTGAGTTGGAAAGAACATCTTTTAGGGTAGCCTTACTTACAGATACAAAGCAGGAGGAAAAAGACAGTTGGGGATTGTGTAAAATTGGGAGTGATTCAATTAAGGGAGTGCTTTTACCATTTTTAAACTGATATTGCACATAGGAAATATTTGTACACCTTTCTTTTGTACAATTATTGGTGCACTGGGGTAAGGGAGCCACTGAGGGCGGAGGGAATCAATATCTGGAACATACTAATTATGAATTCATGCTCAGTGCCACAGCACACTGGTTGTGGAACTCTGAGTGAGTTACGGGTCTAAGGAAAGCTCAGTCAGGTTCTTGGGAAGGTTAGGTGGCTTTTAAGATGACTATCTGAGGGGAAAAGTAGATTAAGTCATAGACATTAACAAAATATAATTCAAACACATTTAAAACTTTTCTCAGAGATTCAGGTCTTTGAAAAGAAAATGCCCAGAGCAGGATACATGTTGAACTAGCCATATACTAATGACCATAGCATTATTGTTTATAGAAGGGCAGCCCTTCAAGAAAAGAAGTGAAATACGCTGTACTTTTCTGCTTTTGTTCAGAATGGAGCTATGTTATTTGCTGTCATTAATTACATAAGGAATAGCCATTGTTTAGAAAGTATCACTATATAAGGAACAGTTGAAAATGATGAAAACAACTTCCCTTGAGTCAGTGGGAGAAGAAGAGACATAGTAGCCATCTTTAATAGTTGAAAACTGTCATTTAGAGGGTAGGCTTACAGTTTTGCGCTGGAAAGCAAAATCAGGAGGACATTCTATGAAGATGGAACTTTATTCCTTTAGAGCTGTCCAAAATGAGAAAGGTCACCTATTAGATAGCAAGCTCCCCATCACTGGGATGTATTTGTATTGTGTCTGATCACCAGTTTTCAGGGATTCCTTCTTTGGGTGGTGATGGGAGTTGTTTCCAGTACAAAATTTTTAGTCACACATATATTTTGTACATTCTTAATTTTTATGTTTTCACTTACTAGGTTATACTCCTGCAATTAAAGGACAGCTCTTACATGTTGATGCCACCACCAGCATGCAATACCGGACCCTTTTAGAAGCAGAAATGTTAGCAGTAAGTCTAGAGTATATGATGATATGTATACATACATAAAATATGAATTTGGTTTTAATTTTTTAATATAAAATTTTAATGACCAGAAGTCATTAAATAGTTAATTTTCTCATTCAAGAACTACCAGGTGCTCTTGGCCTTATTTTTGTGAAGAGGAGTAGATACCCAGGGCTGTGGACTCTGGCATCTCTCTTGCTCTGCTTATGGTTATGGGCAAAGTGAATATAAGGCAGTGCTAGCATGGTTTTTGGTCTTTAAAAATGTGAAAAGTTGTTAGAATATTAATTTTAAATTTTATTTTATGACTAGACTAACTCCTATGTTATAAATGAGATAATTTTTCACTATATGTTTCTGTCCCCATTGGATTCCTTCTCATGGCTTAATAAGTCGTTTTGTTTTTTACTTGATGAATGAGCTTAAAAGAAGAAAATCTTACTGATACTGCAGATTACTCCATATTAGAAAAAATATGGAAATGCTTATAATTAAAATTGCAGATTAGGGATTCATTTCATTATCAGGCAGATTATTCCTTATCAGGGAAGACAACAATAACAATAATAACAAAAGCCACTATGTAGAATGGCTGATATTCAGAAAGGATTCTTTTATAAGATGGTATCATTAGGTCTTAATTGTCTAAAAAAAGCATTTTTACATACATATATGTAAATTAAGAGGAAAAATGTGTAATTACCAAGAATATATTGAATACTACAAATATATATTAAACTGGCATATTCAGCATTTTAATGAATTCCTGAGCTATTGCTGATAAATGGTGCTGTGCCATAATGCTATTCCTGGTCAGGCAGCTCTTGCCTTTAGCAGAATCTCCAAACTTTGGCAGATGGAATACATGATAAGGCACCTTAAAAACATGATAAAGCATGTATTTGCCAAAAGGGAACCTGGGAGGCACTGGTGGCCAAACCCTGAGCCTCTCACGTAACAGATTAGGTTTAAAGAGGAATTAAGGACATTGGTTGTTATTCTGTTGGTTTAGCTAGAGTACAGTATCAAAACTGTAGTCTGCTTTGTTGTTCTTAAAGTTTTCATGGCTTAGTATTTCAAGGAGCTGGATATAACCACAGATACTGACCTTTAGCCACAGTAATATTAAAATCTCAAAGGGACCTTCTGTTTAGCTCAGTGGGAAAATAAGTTTTAATTACTCTACTGGTGTGTGTGTGTGAATTTATTTCTAATGTTCTTCACACAGTGTCACATTTTAAGCTCTAACATTTTTACTTAACATTTCATTTGCAGTTCCACATCAATGCCAGTTATCCCCGAATATGGAATATGCCACAGACTTGGCAGTGTGAATTAGAAGTTTATAAAGCCACCTACCACTTCATCTTTGCACAGAAGAACTTCTTTACTGGTAATTTTCTAATAAATGTAAATACAATGAGATTTATCACAGTGAACTTGTTTACATTCAGTAAGTTTTGCTTTTAGATTCAACATAGGGATTTGATGGTAGAGTTCATACTTTTTTTTACACTTCTTTTTGGGCTACAAGTGTAAAAGGGAAAATTTAAATATAGGTATACTGCAAACAAGGAAAATATCAATCCAAAATTGGGCTTACAAAAAAAATGAAAGAACTCATCTTAGTCTGGTACTTTGTATCATCCTAGTGGGGGATAATTTGGGGAGGATGAATCAATTTCTTTCTTTGCCTGAATTAGGCATCAGCATGGTTTCATTATTTTGTTTCAATTATTGTAATCCACAAACAGTATATTCAAATAGTCAAGTATGTTATTTTTTTATTTTACTGAAGTATAGTTAACACGTCACATTAGTTTTGGTTGTACAACTAGTGTTTTAACAACTCTATGCTCACCACAAGTATAGCTAGTCTGTCACCATACAATGCTACTACAATACCATTGACTGTGTTTCCTATGCCATGCCTTTCATTCCAGTGACTTCCTCAGTCCATAACTGGAAGCCTGTACCTCCCACTCCCCATTCATCTATTTTTCTCATCTCTTTACCCTCCTCCCCTCTGGCAACCATTAGTTTGTTTTCTGTATTTATGGGTCTCTTTCTGCTTATTTATTTTGTTAGATTCCACATGTAAGTGAAATGTTGTTACAAATGGCAAAATTTTATTCTTTTTTATGGCTGCTTAATATTCCTCTGTGTGTGTGTGTGTGTGTGTGTGTGTGTATGTCAGCACACATCACATCTTCTTTATTCACCTATTGTGGACATTTAGTTTGCTTCCATATCTTGGCTATTGTAAATAATGCTGCAATAAACATAGGGGTGCATACATTTTTTTTGAATTAGTGTTTTCATTTTCTTTGGGTAAATACCCAGTAGTGGAATTATTGGATCATGTGGTATTTCTATTTTAAGTTTTTGAGGAACCTCCATACTGTTTTCCACAGTGGCTGTACCAATTTACATTCCCACCAACAGTGCACGAGGGTATGTTACTTTTGTATTTGGAGCTCCTACTTCTTTCCATTGGCATGGATATTGAGTTGATGTTATTGTTAGTTGGAAAAAATTCTTTTATTTCTTGAAGCATATTACGATAGCTACTCATATTTCATGGGTTAGGATCATGTAGTCTTGGTCTCTGACTAACATAAATATTACTAGATAAAAATAAGTTGTATTTATATAGAACCTTCCCATAAAAAGTTTAGCTAAACAGAGTTGGTCTGATTTGCCAGGGTCATTGGCTACCCCAGAGCACCTAAGCTTTACTGATTGCTACATTTATCCAGCCAGCCAGCCAGCCAGCCCTCCATCCTTCCCTTTATCCACCAGTCATTTACAAGCATCTGATCTGTGCTGAGTGCTATTAGATATTTGGGGATATAGTGATAGTCAGGTATTCATAGATAGTCCTGCCTGCACATTACTTACTAGCAATATGATGTTGGCCAAATTAACCAATTATTTTACCTTCTGTTTCCTTATCTGTGAAATAGAGATAATTTCTGCCCTAATTTTGCTATTGTTAGAGTTTGGGCATTGTATAATGCCATTACTACAATATGTTCATTCGTAAGTCTTTATATTTGTTTTTTAGTTTGGGAACTTTATTGTGGGGACTAGCTAGAAAGCTTCTGTGTTCTTGGAGTTATATAATTCCTCAAGGCTTGAGTCAGGGTCCCAGTAGTAGAAGTTGTAACAAAATCCCTGGCAAGTTAAACTTTTGTCAGTGAAGCTGAACATTAAGTACTGCTCAATTCAGATTTATTAAAAAAAATATAGCTAAAACTCACAGTGTGTATTATGTGTCTGTCTCTGTTCTAAGCAATTTGCACATATTGAATTGTTGAATCCTTATAATAATTCCTGAGATCGATACTATTGTTATCCTTGTTTTACAGATGAGGAAAGTAAGTTACAGAGTGGTCAAGCAGTTTGTCCAGGGTCACACAACTAGTAAGTCTGTCGAGCTAGTGTTCCAACCCAAGTCGTCTGGCTCGAGATTCTGTTATATTTAGTTTCTTCGGCAGTAGCCATTTCTCTCTCACTTAATGTTTTGTATTTTATAACTTTGCTAACCTTTTAAAATAGGTTCCTATTTTCAAGCATTTAATCCTTCACATTGTTTTTACTCCAGACATCTCACATTCTTAGACTATAGCAGTGTTAAGAATAGTTGGAGTAGATAATTCCTCAAGATTTAAAATTTTTATAGTAACGCTTTAATTTAGGCTGAGCATTGTATTAGTCACTTTCAAATAGGATTTGAATGCATTTCCCAAGTTACAACCATGTTTTCCCTAAATTATTTTCTTTATTTCTAATCTCTAAGCTTATATGTATTGCAAATCACTTTTTTTTTTTCCCCTAAAACGTATTTGGAGAAATTTAAAGAAAATAGGTACAAAACTTAAGTTCTCATATCCCAGATTTTACAGCTGTAACTTTTATTCATATGTCTTCTACTGCTTTTTAGAATCCTTTAAAAACTTATTTATTCTTTAAGAAGGATGACTATTAGTAACATGCTTAGCCTGGGGATGAATATACTTGGTCATAGTGTTTAAATTGTTTTGCTCTGTTCTCAGTTTTCTCTTTCCCCATTGACAGAATTCTGCAGAAAACAAATGATCTAATTTGGTGTGAGGATATGCCTAATATTCCCCAGTAGCCATTCTTATGCCAATTATTAGATAAAGTTGTTATTTTATTTTATTTTATTTATTTGACACATAGAGAAAGAGATAGCGTGCGAGAGTGAGAACACAAGCAGGGGGAGCAGCAGGGAGAGGGAGAAGCAGACTCCCCACTGAGCAAGGAGCCCAATGCGGGGCTCAATCCCAGGACCCTGGGATCGTGATGTGAGCCAAAGGCAGACAGATGCTTAACTGACTGAGCCACTGAGGTGCCCCAAAAAGTTGTTCTTAAGAGATTTTAGTGTGGGGCAAAGACAGCTTCATGATAAATATAAAAAAGAGTCTCAGGAATAAAAGATGTAAAACAGGCAGAAGTGAAGTCTCTTCTGCTAGTATCAAAATTGATTTAGATTTACTCTGATAAGGGGGAGAAGACAATGGTAACAATATTGCTAAGCTCCAGTACAATTGACTGGCATTTTATAGGGTATTTGTCTAACAATATAATTATAAAGTGAGTTGTAGAAGAGTTTTTTCTAGATGAATATTTAGATTACCAACTTAATTATTTTTTTTAAGTTTTTATTTAAATCCCAGTTAGTTAACATACAGTGTAATATTAGTTTCAGGCATACAATATAGTGATTCAGCACATCCATACAATACCCAGTGCTCATCACAAATTAATAACTTTTAAAAATTTGTTGTCTAAATGAGTAAGGCAGTCATCAAGAAAGTGCTTCCTTTTTTCAATTATTTGGTAAGATCATCTGCTAATGAGAGCAGCTTTTGGTTTAAAGAGAAATACTTATTAGATATAGTTGTTGAGGCTAGTATAAATATTTTACCATATTTTTAAATATTTATCAGTAAAGATATTATATAAGGTGATAAGGAAACTGTACTGCAGAATATCTTGAAATTTCAAATAAAATATGGAAGAAAAGACTATTAAGACTTGTTAAAATAGAAATTGGCTAGTAACTTTATAAAATTACATTGGTTTCCTGAGATGATTAGTGGATTATTTGGATTTATGTTTATTTTACTAGCAATTATATCTCAATCTTTTAACTAGAAGTGTGAAGAAGATAAACGTAACCAATGTAAGTTGAAAGTCTCTTATTAATAATGATTCAAAACAAATTTAAACCATGATCTCAGCCCACAGAATTTATGGGTATGTCGCTTTATGGGCATTTCTTGTTTTGTATTATTTATCAGTCTCAAGTATATTGGCATGTGCACTAGACTTAAACAAATGAAGCAATACAAAACAGTGTATATGTTGATTGCTAGCATGAAACTAACAAATGCATATAAGACATGAATACAGAGGAAATGGCTGTGACCTGAAGGCAATCAGAGAAGGTAAGGGAAAGAGCATAACATCTAAAATGGTCTTTGTAAATGAACTCAGTAATATTAACTGATTATGTGCATAGTTTGTCACCATAGAACATTCCAAACCATGTTCATTTATATTACCTTCATGACTGTGAAAAGAGATAGCTGTTACTGCTATGCCTGAGTTAACAAGAGGAATTGAAGCAGGGAAACATTCAATGAATTGGTCAGAGTCAATGAGGCTAGTAACTGGAAGAGATATTTAAGAACATTTTTTCACCTATGGACCCTGTGCTCTCTCTGTAGTATCATGTTGTTGTTAAAGATGGTTGGAGTTTTCCTTTAGCAGAGAGGATACCAAAGAGTATACTTATTTTAGATAGGATGAATAGGTTGAGTAAAAGTACAGAACTAAAAATGTTGATGAAGAAGAAAAGTGAGAAAATCAGCTTGATGAATGATAAATTTTTATGGTAGAGTTGGTTAATTCCAGAGATGACTTTTGGGTATCTCTCAATTGCTAGCCATTGTGCTAAAGAATAAAGTTAGAAAGTTGGGATGGAGTCATATAGGTAGGGTGGCATGTGGAAGTAAAAGTTTAGAAGTAAGCATAGATACTATACAATATGATGAACCACTGTGATTGCTTGTTCAGTGAAATAAAAATACATTTAAAGTAAAATTGTCAAGTGGAGTTTTCCTTTATTCATAGAACAGGTTAATTGCCATATTCAATTGATTGATATAAAACTCTGCATCTCATTAATATTAATTCAAATTTTTGACATTTGATATTAAATGTATTGCCATTTTATTAAGAGAGGGATTTTTAATGTGCACAAGCTTTTGTACATTGCAGCTAAATTTTAAATGAGTTCATATGATATTATGTAAGATAAATTTGACTTCTAATTTCCGTATTGAATATAGTATCTTTCAGTTTAAAGACCTCATTTAAAATCCAAAGAAACTCCTTTAAATAATTATTTTTACCTATTATTTTCTTTAGAATATCTTTGATAATAAGTGCTTCCATACATAGAGTACTTACCCTGTGACAGTTACTATGCTAAAACTTGACACATATAATTTCAGTTCTCACCATAAGTCTATGAAGTTGTCCTCATTTTGTAAAAAAGAAAACTGATAGCATTTATATTACTCGTTTAAGATTGCATTGCTAGTAAAATGGCAAAGTCAGAATTTAAGCCCAGGACTGTCTGCTGTCAAAGTGTGCTATAATACTGCTTCTAGTCATTTCTCTCTCTCATATATACAAAGTTCTAATTTTATATGCATAGCACAATGTTATATACTATGAATATACAGAGATGAGCTTGCCACCTTTAGGAGGAGACCATGTCCTGAAAGATATGATTGCTGGGAGTATAGGCATGTAAGCGATGTGAATGCCTGAAGAAAAAGTAAAACCACTGTTTTAGATTAGTGCTGATATCTTTATATAAAGAGTTTTTGCCTTTCAAGATTCAAAAAAAAAAAGGTACCAGAGGATAAGCAGACTAAATAAATGAATAGTTTTAAAAAGCAACACTTAAAACCATACAAATCAGAGTACAACAAATCAGAAATCAGGGATTATTGACTGTAAATACTAACAGGGCCAAGTTTCTGTTCACCATTATATTCTCTGAGTCTAGAACAGAGTCTGGCACACAGTAGACACTCTGTAGGTATTTGTTTAATGAGTAAAACAACATGAAAAATATGTTCAACCGTACTTATAATTAGGAAATTCAGTTAAATGAGATAACAGTTTTAAATGATCAATTAATTACCAAGCTACATCCTCGCACTACCCCCAGAGAGAAAGAGGAAGAGGGGGGGACAGGGGGAGGGAAAGGTAGAAAGAAGTATAATGCAGGAGGAGGGTACAATGAAATAGTCAAGCATATATTCCTGGCAGGAGTATAAATGGTTTCACTATTCTCAGAAAGCAATTCTGTAATTTATAATAGCTTTGAAAAAATTTATAAACGTTGACCTAGCCACATTCTACTTCTGGAATCTATACTGACAAAGTAATCCTGAATATGTAAAATATCTTGCATGAAAATATCCATAAAATTATATATAACACAAAAATTTGGACAGAATCTAATATCCAAGATTACTAAATCATTAAGTAAATCCTGGCAAATCTCTTTAATGAACTGTCATTAAAATTTTTGTTAAGGTATATGAAATAACATGGAAAAATTTTGAGTTCAATGAGAAAAAGCAGTATATAAAATATGTGCATCTATATTGTATGAAAGTCTACATAGAAAAAAAAAACTAGAAGGAAACCTATCCACCATGCTGGGTATTTGGGTAGTGGATTATCAAGTGATATTTTTTTCTCTTTTATCTTCTAAAGTTTCTTTAAAAAATAATAGGTATAAAAAATAAAAAATAATATGTATATAAAATGCATAAAATTTCTATTTGAAACTGTGATTAGTAGGTAAATACTGGTTTGCTATTAAATCACTTACCTATATCTTAATCTTCTTTTACTATTTCAGTATAAAAGTTCTTTTTAGTTGCAAAAGAAAAATTCATTTTTGACTGGTGTTAGAATATTTATATTTTGTTTTCTGAATTTCAATTAATTTTTGCTTTCTGTTTCCCACTACCATAATTTTAGATTTAATTCAAGACTGGTCTAGTGATAGTGCTCCGGACATTTTTTCATTTGTGCCTTATACATGGAATTTTAAAATCATGTTTCATCAATTTGAAATGATTTGGGCTGCTAATCAACACAATTGGATTGACTGTTCCACTAAACAACAGGAAAATGGTAAGAATTTCTTAAAAATTAGGCTAAGTATTCTGTTCATTAAGACAAATAACAATGAAAATTGATATTGACTTTGTAGTTTTAATAGATACTAGATGTGATCTTTTTTCCATTGTCTTATAATACTCTCAGAGAACTACTTTAGAGTTTTTACTGGACTAAGCATATTATCTTTCATTTTCTTAGGTATGTATTTAAGGCAATTTTTATTTAAAGTGTTACTGAAGTTAAAAATAAATTTTCTCTTTTTTCCTCTTGTAGTATATCTGGCAGCCTGTGGGGAAACATTAAACATTGATTTCTCTTTGCCTTTTACGGACTTTGTTCCAGCTACGTGTAACACCAAGTTCTCTTTAAGAGTACGTATAATTGGGTGCCTGGGTGGCTCAGTCGGTTAAGCATCTGCCTTCAGCTCAGGTCACGATCTCAGGGTTCTGGGATCAAGCCCCACATCTGGCTCCTTCTCAGCAGGGAGCCTGCTTCTTCTCTCCCTCTCCTCTTCCCCCCTGCTCGTTGTCTCTCTCTCTCAAATAAATAAATAAAATCTTAAAAAAAAAAAAAAAGAGTACACATAATTGCGTGCATTCTTTATTCCACAGGTTTATTAGTGTGTTTCCCCAAAGCTTATCTCTACTTTTCCCTGCCTGTCCTACTGCCATCCTGCAATATTTTAGCTCTCCACCATTGTTCCTGCGCTTCAGTGTCACAGAAATGCTGCTGTTTTTTTTTTTTTTTTGTAGTTAACAGTAATGTTCTGTCATTCCCCTAAGTTCCCCAACTTCCCCTGAGGAGTTTTGGCAATAAAAAGAAAATTCCCTGAGTTGATTATTTTCTTAACCAGCTCATTTCTAACCTTTGTGGCTAACTTATATGTTCTTTTGAAAAACCCCTTCTAACTCTAATGTTTAACAGTGGATGAACTAAATTTTGCACTTTCCTTAATTTCGTTACTAATTGTAAACATGAATTCAAGGGACAGCCACAAATACCTCTCTTCCTTTTCTCTGAAAGGCAGCTCTAATGAGTTCAAAATTTTGTGGAATACCTGATTTTAGGGAATGAGCAATCAGACGTAATTGTAGTATTGATGGAGGCTATGGTGGTAAAAAATAGCAACAATAAGAGCTGCTAATACCTATTAAACATGTTCTGTGTGCCATACCCTATGCCAAGTGCTTTATGTGTATTAGCTCATTTCATTCTCAGAACAATTTGCTTGAGGTAGTTGTTATCTGCATTTATGAAATAGGAAACTGAGAAGCTGAGTTTATATAACCTATGTGATTGGTGAGTAGCTGAATTGGAATTTGAACCCAAGTGGTATAGGTTAGGCCTTCAATCTCTTAACCACTCTACTATGCTGCCTGTTAAGAAATCAGGCATCACGGCACCCCAATGTTTATAGCATTATCAACAATAACCAAATTACAAAGAGCCCAAATGTCCATTGACTGATAAATGGGTAAAGAGGTTGTGGCCTGTATACACAATGGAGTATTATTCAGCTATCAAAAAGAATGAAATCTTACCATTTGCCACGAAGTGGATAGAGCTAGAGTGTATTATGCTAAGTGAAATAAGTCAGAGAAAGACAAATACCATATGATTTCACTCATGTGGAATTTAAGAATACAGATGAACATTGGGAAAAAAGTGAGATGCAAACCATAAAATAGACTAATTATAGAGAACTGAGGGTTGCTGGAAACTTGGTGGACAGGGGGATGGGCTAAATGGGTGATGGGTATTAAAGTTAAGGGCACTTGTGATGAGCACTGGGTGTTACATGTAAGTGATTAATCACTGAATGCTACTCCTGAAACTAATATTACACTGTATATTAACTACCTGGAATTTAAATAAAAACTTAAAATAAAATTCATATTGTATGTAAATATGTAAAATTTTACAATATGTAAAATTACATATTATAATACATATTACATGTTGTAATATGTATTGTAATATATATTGTAATAATTACAATTACATATTGTAATAATACAATCTAAAAAAAAAATCAAGCATCATGAGGAACAAGATTAGGGCACCAACCTATAAGGAAAAAAGTGAAGCCAAATGAAAATGTATCAACTCAGAATTCTTAAAAACCAGTTGATAATCCAAGACTTACTAGAATCAAAAAAATTAGTAGGGGCGCCTCAGTGGTGTAGTCAGCTTAGTGTTTGACTCTTGGTTTAGGCTCACATTGTGGTCTGAGGGTCTTGAGATCCAGCCCCGCATTGGGCTCCATGCTCAGCAGAGTCTCCTTGAGTTTCTCTCTCCCTCTCTCTCTGCTCCTACCCCTGTGCTCTTTCTTTCTCTTTCTCTCAGATAAATCTTTAAAAAAATTAGTAAAATGCAGAATATATTCCACCTGAACTTATTATCAGTGATTTCTATTTTATTTATTTATTTGTTAAAGATTTTATTTATTTATTTGAGAGAGAGAGAGCATGAGCGGAGGGAGAGGAGGAGGAGCAGAGGGAGAGAGAAACTCAAGCATACTCTGCTGAGCACAGAGCCTAACACAGAGCTCGATCTCACAACCCTGAGATCATGACCTGAGCTGAAGGTAAACACTTAACCAACTGAGCCACCTAGGTGTTCCTCAGTGAGATGATTTTTAATTGTTTTTTTTTTACTGAGTTACATGTGAAATACCCATGAATACCCATAGAAGATAATCTTTTTACTGTTTTGTGGAAACTATGTTATTTATTTCCTTAATTTTTTTTCTTAACTTTCTAATCAGAATTTAGTTTTAGTCTATGTAAAATCTTATTCCAGTTATTTAACTGACGATTATAAAATCTGCCTTTTGAAATTTGTTTATTTTCTTTTGAATTCTCAAAATTATTATAGATAAGTTTGGCTAGAAATAGAAACCTAACATATTTATGTTCCTATTTTTTTACTTTGGGTTATTATGAATTATTTTTTAGGGAGAAGATGTTGATCTTCATTTATTTCTACCAGATTGCCACCCTAGTAAATATTCATTATTTATGCTGGTAAAGAATTGCCACCCAAATAAAATTACTCATGATACTGGTATTCCTGCTGAGTGTCAAAGTGGTCAGAAAACAGTTAAACCAAAATGGCGGAATATTACACAAGAAAAGTGAGTATATAAAATTAGTGATTTAAATATATTGTGTTTATATGTGGGGAAGATTCTTCTGATTCTTTCAAAGAATAAAGATAAAAGTTGACTATTTGTAATTGGTGTTTGTATGCAATTAAATGAATTAAGTAACTGACCAGAATTTTATTTTTTATTCTTCAAAGAGCTGGTTGGGTTGAATGCTGGACTGTCCCAAGTGTCATGCTTACAATCGATTATACATGGCATCCAATTTATCCACAAAAAGCAGATGAGCAGCTAAAACAATCATGTAAGTGTTTTTATATAATTTGTACTTCAAGACATCTGGTTTTGTGATTGATAATCATTAAAAGTATAAGAAAAAAAATTTTTTTAATTTGGAAATGTATCTATTCATTTGATGTATTTGTATACATTTAAAAATCTTTTAAGAATTTTTGGCATAATTACAACTAACTTTCATTGAGCATTTACTGTATATCAAATACTAGACCAAGCTGTTTACTGGTTTACATTACTCATTTAATCCTTACAACAACTCTGTGAGATAAATGTTGTTATTGTAGATTTGAACAAATATGTTCAGAGTAAGTAAATAATTTTTTACTTATTCTGCCAAGTTCTGCCAAGCTAGAAACAGAAGAACTAGAATATCAAATAAGATGTATGTGAATATGAATATATATATAAAGCACTTGGTTTCATGAACTGTTAGTTTTTTTAATGCATTTTCACAATTATCATATCATGTTTCCCTGAAGCTTATGTACCTTATTACCAGAGTCCAAAATGAAATTAGAGTCAAGTGATATTTTCTTTGTATTTTTCTAGTGAGTTAAGTGTTAAAGAATAGTTTTCATAATTGTTCTTGTGTTTGGAGCTTGATAATGTCACACTGTATTTGAATAGCTGTTTATGTGAAAACAACTTTGTACTTTAATGCCCAAGTATAGATAAAGCCTGTGACCTGAATTTATATTGCAGGGACTTGAGAATGTTAATAGGAAATTTTCATTGATTCTATACCATCTAATTTATGTATTTCTACACATATTTCAATGAAGTCTGTTTTATTTCACATTCTTAATTATTAGTCTTGTAAGTCTGTTTTCATTATATACTACAGATACTGTATCAGAGATAGTTGCTTTCATGAAAAATTACAAAATAGAATTTCTTAGTGAATGGTTCATTAAAGAACTTCTGAGAAATTCCCCACCACAAATTTTTTTTCCTTAATTTTTTTCAGTATCAGAAATGGAAGAAACAATGCTATCTGTATTAAGGCCATCCCAGAAAACATCGGACAGAGTTGTTTCTACTCCTTCTACTTCTTCACGCCCACCTATTGATCCCTCAGAACTTCCACCTGATAAACTTCATGTAGAAATGGAACTTTCCCCAGATTCTCAAATAACTCTCTATGGACCACTATTAAATGCCTTCTTATGTATAAAGGTATGATTTTTAAAAGATCTTACACATTTTTAAACACAGGCAAAATAGTTAATATCTAATTGAAATTGAGACCATTTGAAATAGCCTGTTCGGTGGTTTAAAGTTGTTGAAGATATATATGTTGACTATACTTCTGGTGCTAGAGTCAATTACAAACTTATTTATTTAAAATGGTGTACTTCTCAGTTGAGTTTTTGTTTTGTATTTTTAGCATTTAATATATTCTAGGAATTGTGCTAGTTGGCTGGAGAAAGAGATGATACAGCATCTGTTCTCAAGGAAATAAGCTAGAGGACATAGTAGGATAGACATATATAGGGACAAATTTTAACACATTGTAATATAACACAGCAAAAGAAGTACAAGAGAACCTTGTCATCTGAGAATAATAAAATAAAACCAGGAAGAATCGACTTCAATTGAATTCAGTAAAAACAGAAAACTTTATTTCATGCTAAATAATAAGCAAAGATTTGTTTGGAGCACTGTCTTAAAACCTGAAGCAAATATATGAAAATAAGTTTATTTCAGAGTATGACAGATTTAGGTTCTAAAAAGTATGCTTTCTTTGAATAAAGACCAAATCAAGTGTTGATTCATTTTAGTATAATTTTTCCATTGAAATTGTGTGACTGCATAGAATGATAGATAGCTCTTGAAGGTTGATCAAGCATGATCAGGAACGGAGGCTATTTTAAGAAAAATATGTGAGTACTTTTTAAGTTTTCTACACATCACTTTTATTCTTTTGGTATTCAATTCATACTTTAAAAAAGTCTCCCCAGCAAGTCATCAATAACTCTTAACTGATTTACTCTTTTTTTTTTTTTTTAAAGATTTTATTTATTTGAGAGAGAGAGAAAGCACATGAGGGGGGGAGGGTCAGAGGGAGAAGCAGACTCCCTGCCGAGCAGGGAGCCTGATGCGGGACTCGATCCAGGGACTCATGGATCATGACCTGAGCCGAAGGCAGACTCTTAACCGACTGAGCCACCCAGGCGCCCCAAAGATTTTATTTATTTATTTGAGAGAGAGAAAGAGAGAGAGAGAGCACATGAGAGGGGGGAGGGTCAGAGGGAGAAGCAGACTCCCTGCCGAGCAGGGAGCCCGATGCGGGACTCGATCCAGGGACTCAGGGATAGAGAAAGCACATGAGGGGGGGAGGGTCAGAGGGAGAAGCAGACTCTCCCTGCCGAGCAGGGAGCCCGATGCGGGACTCGATCCAGGGACTCAGGATCATGACCTGGGCCGAAGGCAGTCGCTTAACCAACTGAGCCACCCAGGCGCCCTGATTTACTCTTTTTTATAGGTAACCACTCTAAGCCTTCCAGATCCTCACTTATCACTGATACCTTTCTCTGTGATTTGAGTGGTTATCCAACATCACTTTTAGCAACTTCATGAAATGTTGCATTTTTCCAGGTTTTTGCTAATTCACTTTGCTTCAGATTTTCATCATACTGTTGGAAGCTTTACTACATCTGATAAACAAAGTGAGATTGTCTAAACATTAACAGTCATGAGCAGTAGAGTTACTTGTGGGATAGGTTTTTGTGTGAGTCTAATTTTGTCAGTGTTTACTTATTTGCTTCCTTTTGTAATTTCACAACTGTGGAGGTTTGGCTATTGAATGCTTAGGTAATAGGCAATCCCGTAATGTACAGTGACAGGAGTAATTAATTCTGGAAAGGGTCTAGGATGATCAGGGTTGATTAAGGAAAGACAGTCAAGGTTTGTTAAGAAAGGTTTTCTGGAAGAAGTGCTAGCTGAACAGGTTCTTATATTTATAAAAAATTTTTATATTTGATTTACTGTCATATTTACTATAAACTACCATAAAGCATCAGATGATATAATTTAAGATAAAAGATGCAAGGGACATTGTATTTAATATTTGTGGAAATCTAAAGTTTTGGTTTGGTTTTAGGAGAGATTCCTAAAGGAGTGATTCTTCAGATATTCAAAGGGGAGAAATACATACACAAACATACACATACACATGTATTTTTTTTTCTTTCTTGTGACCATTGTTTGACCTAAAGTATTCTTCAAATATTTCTCCCAATATCTTATTTTCTTGGGATTGCTTGTGAATAACTATAAAGGATTTAAAATGCAATTTTCAAGTTATAATTTCCCTGAAGAGGCTGAACTGTGTTTCAATTTAAATGTAAGTAATGATTTAGTTAGCAAATGAGGGTGGTTATATTGATATAGTACCAGTTTTGAATACTACTAAAGAGATGTAATCACTGTTTTTTTGCATTACTGTATGTATACTGAACCTCAATTTTTTCTTTTAAAAATTCCATAATAATACATATTCGTCAAAATTAAGAGGATTATAACAAAGAAGAATAAAGAGAAAGGAGTAAATGCCTTTTTTCAAGATTTCTTTACAAATTCTCCATAAATGTAACCTCTCTTGATAGTTTGTTTTGATGCAGTCTCTTCCATGCATTAAGATTTTATAACAGCTGTTTAATAGTTTCAGAGGTTTGTTGTACTAAAGTTTTTTTTTTAATATTTATTTATTTGACAGAGAGAGGGAACACAAACAGGGGGAGCGGGAGAGGGAGAAGCAGGCTTCCCGCCAAGCAGGGAGCCCGATGAGGGGCTTGATCCCAGGACCCTGGGATTATGACCTGAGCCGAAGGCAGACACTTAATGACTGAGCCACCCAGGCGCCCCTAAAGTTTTATTAGTATTTGCATTCATCGAATTAACATAGAACTTGTATGTTCTACTAAACAAATTACTAAACAAATTAAAATTTTACTAAAACAAATTAAAATTTTACTAAAACAAATTAAAATTTTTAAAGTTTTAAAATATTTTTAAAAATATGTACCTAAAACATGACAAACAAAAAATTTTTGTAGGCCAGTGAATTCTATGCTTCCTTTTATTAGGAATATAAATAACTCGTCTTTTTTTTTTTCTTCTTTTTTTCTTTCTGCCTACTGCTTACTAGAAAGCTTAGTGTCATGCTAACATGGAGATGTGTTCTATCTTAAATCTCTCTCTTTTAATTACTTTTTTTTTCATTTGTTTTAATATATAACTATGTTCTTCTTAGTGTTAGAATGTGTATATGTATATATAAAAGAAAACAAAGAGAATGTGAAAATTCATGTAACCGAGATTGTATTTTCCTTAGTTACTAGAATTAAACATCAGGAAATTCTGAAGGATAGACTAGAAAAAAAAAAAGAATATTTGTTTGACTGTTTAGAAAAAACTGATTTCCAGGGCTCCTGGGTGGCTCAGTCATTAAGCATCTGCCTTTGGCTCAGGTCATGATCCCGGGGTCCTCGGATCGAGTCCCACATCGGGCTCCCTGCTTGGCAGGGAGCCTCCTTCTCCCTCCCCTCCCTGCTCGTGCTCTGTCTCACAGTCTCTCTCTGTCTCTGTCACAAGTAAATAATAACTAAAATCTTTAAAAAAAAAAAAAAACTGATTTCTAAGATCCACAAGAGAAACTAGGGTCGCCATTATTATTGCCAGGAACTCTGAGAAGAATATATACCAACATGCATTAAAATTTGTGAGAATATTTTATGGAAATGTTTACATCTTCTGAATTGACTTCTCTTGGTCTTATTACATTTTTTCTTAATGGAAGAAGGGAAATCTGAATCTAAATAGTGATAGCATATCAGTGGTAGTCAGTAGTAACTGTGGTTTAAGGGTTATGGCATATATGCTTTCCTTATTAGAAAAAACAGTTTTAATAGTCTTGAACAGAAGCCTGGCTAAGTTTCCTTCAAAAAAATTTAATATTGGAAACAAACTACCTGTAGGTTGTTTTTTTTTCCCCTGCTTCTCTGAATTTATTAGCTGTCTTCTTTTAACTATAGTGATAATTCTTTTTCCTCTTTTTTGAGAAATGAGTATCATTGTATAAGTAGGCTGGGGAAAAAAATGGTAATGTCCTGTTGACTTGAAGTAGTTACTTGACACACATAATAAAATATCTTTAGGAAAATAAAATTTCATAGAGCTCTTAAGTCGATTGAAAATACAGCTTGTTTTATCATTTTTAAATTCATTCATGCTGCAAACTTGACAAAAGAACACATTTTTTCAGTTATATAAGTTATTGCTTTTTTCTAAGGTTGTTTGGAATTTGGTTTAGAGATAGTTCAATTTTGCATACTACCTACCTTAACATGGAACTGGAACTTTTATTTGTATTTGTAAATATTTATGTACATTTATTAATCTTAAAATACCATAAAAGTTTGCCATGATATATTACTAATTACCTTATACTTTGGTCAAACTTTGGTAATGTTTTTTAGTGAATCCTTAAGAAATTAACCTTTACAGATGGAGTTCACATACTAAAAAAACAAAGCAAAACTAAAACAAGCACATGCAATACTTAAATCTCACACTCCGCATAAAACATTTAACGTGAGGCTAGTGTTTTAAGGGAGTTATAATTTTAAAAGTACATTTTGTTGATAATAGTTAATATGTACTAATATGATAACTCATAAAAGACTCCTAGAGTTTTATAACTCTTTAAAAACAGTCATTGACACGTTTAATAAAAATTAGCAAATGTTCTCTACTATGTTGGGGATTCAGTATTCCCTAAAGAATTTGCTATGAGTTGTTCCTGTTTCAGATAATTAAATGGAGATTGTTTTGGTAGCAAATTGAACATTAGGCCCAAGAGAATATTTTTCTTTTGATTTTAATAATCTACATGAATCTCTTCTGTTTATAAGGTTAAAAATGGCAAGAGACTGTAAGAGACTTCTAAGGAATCTTTTAAAAATAAGAGATTTATAGAGTACAATTATTAAAAATAGGCTAAAATGAGTATAACTTATTTTTATTGATTTGTTGGTAACTCAGTATGTCAAAAGCTAATAAATGTGAACATTGTACACTGATTCCATTGACCAGTTTTATGGAGGAAGGGTGGAGTAGAGGTGATTGGGTCTGGAGACCGTTTGTAGATAAAATCACTGAAGGAAATATTTTACTTTTCTTCTGTCTCTGAAATCCATGTCCATTGCAAACTATTGAACCTGTCCCCAGGACCAGAATGGCATGTGTATTTTTCTTTATTTTAAAGATTTGATTATTTATTTAACAGAGAAAGACACAGCGAGAGAGAGGGAACATAAGCAGGGGGAGTGGGAGAGGGAGAAGCAGGCTTCCCGCCGAGCAGGGAGCCGGATGCAGGGCTCAGTCCCAGGACCCTGAGATCCTTACCTGAGCCGAAGGCAGATGCTTAACGACTGAGCCACCCAGGTGCCCTGGCATGTGTATTTTGAAAAGGCTTCTCAAATGATCTGAGGACTGCTGCTTTGAATACTTCTAGATCTTTAATGTTTAGATTAAAATCAATTAGACATTTATTTTTAGTTTTAGAAATTTAATGTTAGAATTTAAGATATAGGTTAATGTTTATTTACATTTATATTTGTGCTTGAATTTGTCCATGCTTCAGAGTTATATAATAAAGGCAATTTTCAAGATGTCTAGCAGGTTCTAAGTAGGACCTGTATTATTAGAGCCAGATAACAATACAGAATGAGGAAAAAGTATCACTTTTGTGAGTCCATAGATTTGGGATTTTATTATTAGTCCTACCACTAATTAACCAAATGACTGTAAACCCTTGAACATCCTTTTCTATGAAAAGATATTTAATTGGCCTGATTAATTGACTAGAATTCTAGCCAGAAAATAAATGTGCCAATAAGTAAAATGCAGAATTTATCAAAATACTGACTTGATTTCTAATATTGAACAAATACAGTTAACTGTGTTAACAGGAATATTTTAACAATTTTTGATTACTACTGACAAATAGATAAAACTTAAATTCAGAATAATGGGAAGAAAAAAGAATTTCATTTAAATAAGTCAGAGAAAGACAAATACCATATGATTTCACTCATATGTGGAATTTAAGAAACAAATGAGCATGGGGGGTAGGGAAGAGAGAGGCAAACCAAGAAACAGACTCTTAACTATTGAGAACAAACTGATGGTCACCAGAGGGGAGGGGGTAGGGGGAGGGGTGAAATAAGCAATGGGGATTAAGGAGGGCATTTGTAATGAGCACTGGGTGTTGTATGTAAGTGATGAATCACTAAATCCTCCTCATGAAACTAATATTACACTGTATGTTAACTAATTGGAATTTAAATAAAAACCTTAAAAGAAGAAAAAAATAATAATAAATTTAAATTCTGATGCAAAAGGAACCAGAATATTAAGTTAAAATACTTTGCATAAGAAACCAGGATGAATTATATGAAAGGATGTTTTAGTAACTTGATAACACATGTTTTTATCATCAGTAACTAAAATTGGAGATTCTTATTTAAGTTGTTAAAAACACTCCTGTAAATATTTCACCCAGAATATATGAATTGTAGTAGTTAGCTAATTGGATTTAGTCAAATTGATTTTCAGTGACTTGATCTTCCCTTAACGGATGTCTCTGGGTATTATTGCCTCAGAACTCAGAAAAATTGAAAACTATTGAACATTACAAATTTTCAAAGTTTTCTTCTAGGACCTAAATTGCAAGTTTTTTGGTATAATTGGAGGTGGTGTTGTCATGAAGCTTTACTATAAACTTACTTAATTTTTTATGTTTTTGTTTGCTACAGAATGTTTATTTGCTAACTAGCCAAGTAAGTATGTGTGTTAAGCATATGTATCTTTTTTTGTTTTTCATTTCAAGGAAACAGACCATATACTTTTAACTAAATAAAATAGTTTAGGGAGATGCTTGGTTTACAGAATTCAGGTTCTAAGTTGAAAAGTTATTGATACATATCTCTTTAATAGAAGTTTGTTCTTGATATTTATAGGAAAACTACTTTGGGGAAGATGACATGTATATGGATTTTGAAGAGGTTATTTCAAGTCCTGTTCTGTCACTGTCAACATCATCCAGCTCTGGGTGGACTGCTCTTGGAATGGAAAATGACAAAAAGGAAAATGAAAGTTCAGCCAAGTCAATTCATCCACTTACCTTACGTCCTTGGGATATTACTGTACTTGTTAATTTGTACAAAGTTCATGGGCGCCTTCCTGTTGTAAGTGTTTACGTATCTAAATAGTCTGGAGTATATTATGAAATTCACCCAACTTAGAAAACTGTAGGTGTTTGTACACACATGCACACACTAATAAAAAAAAATCAGATTTGAAAACTTTAAAATGTATCCTTTCCCTTTATAAAGCTAATTTATTTTCTTCTTAATGTGATTACTTGATCATTGATAATTTTCTGCTTTTCTTCTTTCATTTGAGTTCCTTCTTGCTGTTCTGTATAACTTTAGAACTTTTTGTCATGACGTTGAGTTGCTGGGTTTATAGTTAGCCTGATGGATACTCTAGGATTTACATTTTCTTATCCTTTATCCAACTCTAGATCATTTGGGGCCCTTATGGTGCACCTACTACAAAATCAAGATTCAGTTTGATCCTGAAGGTTGAATTGTTTTTAGGGGCTCAGATCCAGCATAGAATCCTGGTTCAGTCTAAGGTTGACCAGTGGACCATTTGGGCTGACTTGGAATGAGATTATATTGCCCAGAGAACCCAGGGTCGTTGGAGTGAGGCCAGATAGGGAGGGTGAGGCCCTAGAGCATTGTGCTGTTTACTGGCTCCATATCATGCACCTAGGATTGCAGAGCAGAGGAGTCATCCCTGGTGCTTAGTGAACCTAATGTTCTTACTGGGGTACAGAATAGTTAATTTTGTCAGTAAGCACTATTTCTCCTTTTTAAGAATCAAAATCTCTTAATTATATAAATGTAATTTTGGGGACGCGTGGGTGGCTCAGTCATTGAGCCTCTGCCTTCGGCTCAGGTCATGATCCCGGGGTGCTGGGATCAGGCCCTGCTTCTGGCTCCCTGCTCAGCAGGAAGCCTGCTTCTCCCTCTCCTACTCCCCCTGCTTGTGTTCCCTCTCTCACTGTCTCTTTCTCTGTCAAGTAAATAAATAAAATCTTTAAAAAAAATTAATGTAATTTTTATTTTCATGTACCTCCTTGGTCTTATTTTCTCTATATCTTGATTATGGTATTTTGTTTGACTTTAGCATGGAACCACTGATGGCCCTGAGTGCCCTACAGCATTCTTGGAAAGACTGTGTTTTGAAATGAAAAAAGGATTTCGGGAGACCATGCTGCAACTTGTCCTGTCACCCCTAAATGTGTTTGTCAGTGATAACTATCAGGTAATGTGAAAGTGAGTTATGGTAGAGACTTAGAGATGTATTATTATTGTTTATGGGGTTGAAACAGTGTGTTAGCTTCTGTGCATAGAATATATAGTTCTTTAAATTAGAGGCTTTTAATTTAACCATATTAAGAAGTTTTGTATATATATGTGAGTTTTTCAAGAATCTCAGTTTTCTTTTTCTTTTTTTTCTGCTGTTCCCTATTTATGTGATCCCATATAATTATATTCTATATCTCTTGTTTTTAGAAATGGAAAGAAATACTTTAAAACTTTTTCATATGTTTATGGAAGGGAAAATGTATAAAATTTTGGCGGATTCTATTGAAAATTACAACCTCAATATTCATATTAACCAGTACTCTAAATCTTCAAAACATCCATATCCACATGGATGGTGCTTTTCACCAAATGTACTTACAAGACACTTTATTAATCCCATCAAGATATCCCCAGGGCTCTTTTGAAAGGGAACCAATGATATTCAGCAAATGGGAATAATTCACATTCTTGGGTAATCACTTTGTTATTATTATTTTTTATTGCCAAATGGCTTTACTTTTCATTTAACACTACTTTAGGGCTCTTCTGTACTTTTAGTCAAGTTGTGAGCTTTGGAAAAATAAATAGATTTTAATATAAAGCAAGGTAAAATTGTAAATGGCTGGTGAATCTGATACCCCAAAATCACAACAGATGATAACTTACTATGGGTTCTATATAGTAACTGATCATTTTATATAAAATAGCTTACCCCCTTTGCAACTCTTTTGCCATAACTGACCATATTTTTCTACATAGAATTTAAGTTTTCCATATGTGTATATATTCAACACAGCTGACCTCATAGTAGCTGAAACTTAACACCTAATATATGCTTATTTTTGCCACTGAATGTGTTTCCTTTATCAGACTTTTGACGTAGTTGGCATACCTCATTTTATTGCATGTTGCTTTAGTGCACTTTGCAGATATTGCATTTGTTACAAATTGAAGATTTGTGGCAGCTCTGCATCAAGCAAGTTTATCAAAGCCATTTTTCCAGCAGCATTTGCACACTTTATGTCTCTGTCACATTTGGTAATTCTCACAGTATTTTAAATTTTTTCATTATTCTAATGTTATGGTGATTTGTGTTCACTGATCTTGATGTTACTATTGTAATTGTTTTGAGGTGCCACAAACTGTGCCCATATAAGATGGCAAACTTAAGTAATAAACATTGCACATGTTCTGACTGCTTCACCAACTGGCTGTTCCCCTGTTTCTCCCCCTCTTCTTGGGCCTCCCTATTCTCTAAAACAAAAGGTATTGAAATTAGGCCAGCTAATGACCCTGCAGTGGCCTCTAAGTGTTCAAGTGAAAGGCAGAATTGTACGTTTCTCACTTTAAATCAGAAGGTAGAAATGATTAAGCTTAGTGAGGAAGGCATGTCAAAACCCAAGCTAAGCTGAAAACTAGGCCTCTTGCACCAAACAGTTAGCCAGGTTGTGAATGCAAAGGAAAAGTCCTTCAAGGAAATCAGAAGTGCTACTCCAATAAACACACCAATGATAAGAAAGGAAAACAGCCTATGGCTAATACAGAGAAAGTTTCAGTGGTCTGGATAGAAGATCAAATCAGCCATGCATTCCCTTAAGCCAAAGTCTAATCCAAAGCAAGGCCCTCTTTTCAATTCTGTGAAGGCTGAGAGAGGTGAGGAAGCTACAGAAGATAAGTTTGAAGCTAGCAGAAGTGGGTTCATAGGTTAAAGAAAGAAGCCATCTCCATAACACCAAAGTGCAAGGTGAAGCAGCAAGTTATCCAGGAGATCTCGCCAAGTTAATTAATGAAGGGTGGCTACACTAAACAACAGATTTTCAAAGTAGATGAAATAACCTTCTAGTTGAAGATGCCATCTAGGACTTTCATAGCTAGAGAGGAGAAGTCAGTGCCTGGTTTCAAAACTTCAAAGGACAAAATGACATTCTACTTATAGGCTAACATAGCTGGTGACTTTAAGTTGAAGCCAATGCTGGAAAATTTTAGGGCCCTTAAGAATTTTGCTAAATCTACTCTGCCTGTGCTCTATCAGTGGAGCAAGAAAGCCTGGATGACAGTGTATCTCTTTACAATAATGTTTACTGAATATTTTAAGCTCACTTTTGAGACCTCAGAAAAAGAGAGTCCTTTCAAAATATGACTGCTAATTAACAATGCACCTAGTCACCCAATAGCGCCGATGGAGATGTACCCTGAGATTAATGTTGTTTTCATGCCTGATTAACACAAGATCCATTTTGGAGCCCATGGATCAAAGAGTCATTTTGACTTTCAAGTCTTATTATTTAAGAAATACGTGTTGTGAGACTATAGCTGCCATAGATAGTGATTCCTCTGGTGAATCTGGGCAAATTTGAAACCTTTGGTACAGGTGAGTTCTCCAGGATTTGGCTGCTTATTCCTGATAGCATTTGTCTTAATGCAGGGCCTCAAGGTTAAGGACCTGAGGTGATGGATGGATTATTGTGTCTGACTTATGAACCATCCTCTTTTAATTTATGAGCATCTTATGATGTATGTTAGTTGCCTAGGGCTGTCATAGCAAAGTACCTCACACTGAGTTGCTTAAAATAAGAAAAATGTATTCTCTCACGGTTCTGGAGCCTAGAATTCTGAAATCAAAGTGTTGGCAGGGGCATGTTCTCTCTCTCTGAAGGCTGTAGGAGAGCGTCTCCTCGCCTCTTCTAAGCTTTTGGTGGTTGCTAGCAATCCTTGGCATTGCTTGTCCTGTAGATGCATATCTCTGCCTTTGTCTTCTCATGGCATTGTCTCGATGTGTCTCTGTGTCCCAGTTTTCCTCTTAAAAGGATACCAGTCATTAGATTAAGGCCCACCCTAATTCAGTGTAACCTCATTTTAACTTGATTACTTCTGCTAAAACCCTTCTTTTTCGAATATAGTAAGGTCACAATCACAGGTGCCTGGGCTTAGGACTTGAATGTCTTTTTAGGGGACACAATTCAGCCCACAATATGATGCAACCCCACAATAAAATCTAGAATATGATCTTTGTTGGTGTACTAGATAGGCTCTATCTTTAGGACAAGCCAAGATCTATATATATTTTTGAGCTCAAAAAATACCAATCAGAAGTATCTTATACTGAGAATTATCGAATCTTAGTGCCAGAAGTGATCTTTATTCACCATCCTCCCCAGCTTCTTCAGATAAAAAATAGAAGGAAACTAATGCCTGGAGAAATTTTGGTGATTTTATATATTGTCACACAGCTTAGATGAAAATAAAATAAAAAATGTATCGAAAGAGCTGCTAGAGCTATTATTATAGTCATAATTAGAAATTTCCTTTTAAGAATTCCTTATGAATTTGATTTGGGTCATATCCTTAATTTTTTTTTAAGAATACATTTCCTAAAATGTGTTGAAACAAAGAATGCTAACACTGTTCCTTGTGCAGATGGCCTGTGTACACATACTAAAAGACTACTGTAGTAAAATTAGTTTGGGAAATACCTGTGAACTGTCTCAATGTATATTAGTATATTGAATTCTCTGAAAAGACTTGCTGTGAAGAAATACACAGCATTATCTTCCTTTTGTGGTCACTGTTAGGTGCAGTGGGATAAATGTTGAACAAGACAGAAATAGTCTTTACCCTAATAAACCTGATGGAGAAGAGAAATATTGAGGAAATAATAAATAATGGTCTTGAGACAAGAACATGATAAAACTTGCCTTTTTAGATCTCTGTGGTTGTTTTGTAGAGTATGGAGGTGGGAGATGTAAAAGTGAATGCTGGGAGGCTCTGCAAACATCTTAGCAAGAGGTCATATTATTGGGACCATGATGATAGCAGTGAAGATAGAAGAAAGTCAATGCATTTCTGAGAGATTGGGAGGTAGATTCCACAGAAATTGGTGACTGATGGGTAGGGCATTGCCAAACCTATTTGATTCTATATTACTAATCATATCCTTTGGAACTAGTTAGTGTTCCATGGAATACCCTATTTTAGGACATATCTTTTAGCTTTGTGAGTAAGTTCAGAACTTTTCTCTTTGAAGTATTTGCTGCTTTTTAGTAGTAAGTATGTAATTTCTGTAAGATAAATCTATCTTTTTTATATTTATGTAGTTCTCAAAATCTATATGAAAGATGTCTTTCTTCCCTCATTCTTCATTTTATGGTCTTAATGGTCTTTGTTCTCCCCTGTTATTTTTTTCTTTTTAGTGTTTAATCTCATTATTCCTGTCTTCCCACCTAAGATTGGTCTCTTACATTCCCTGTCAGTCAGAGGACTAATTTCTTTTTATTCATTGAGCCATTCATTTCTATCAGAGAGGTCTCGTTCTTTCTAGGACTTTGCTATCTTGCTTTGCAGTTGGACTCTTATGGATATTGTCACTAAAGAAGCTTAACTGAAACTCTACGGTACAAGGTTGTGTTAGGATCTTATGGATCCTTGAGTCTTATTTTCCAGATAGCATGTTTTTACTGTTAGTCTCTGGAGAAAAAAACAACTAGAAATAATAATGCCGACTTTCTTGTACTTCTTACCGTCTTCTTATTGTTTTCAGCAGCGACCTCCTGTGGATGAAGTACTCAGGGAGGGTCACATCAATTTGTCAGGTCTCCAGCTGAGAGCACATGCTATGTTCTCAGCAGAAGGTCTTCCTTTGGGAAGTGATTCCTTAGAATATGCATGGTTAATTGATGTGCAGGCTGGAAGTCTTACAGCTAAGGTCACAGCACCACAGGTAGGATTCTCTGACTTATTTTCTTTTTCCTTTGCTTACCCACTTTGCCGAGTAAGTTGTATGCCTGTTTGAATGTTCGTTGCATTTTCACTAATGGTGTTCCGATGGCCAGACAACTCTGCTTTTTGGATGAGAGTCATTCTTGCCATTCAGAATTTTCTTAGCAATAGATGAGTCAGAGACAAGTTTCACGTTTCTGAGCCACATAAAATTGAAGGGTGTAATGTTTTATAGTTCTGCATAACACTTTCAAGATCAAGACTTTAGGAAAAACTCAGTATGAGAACTGGTCTGGAAATTTTATATATTATTAAAATCACATTAGTTGTTTCTCCACTGTTGAAAAATTCTCTTTTTCCCAGTATATGGAATAATTTTTTTAAGAATTTTGCTTTCTTATATATTTCTTAAGTAGGATTTGAAAATATTGTTTATGGTGTTCAGGATTAGGTAGTTCGGTTCTTGTCATGTCTCAAAGCAAGATAACATCATTTGTATCTGCTGCTAATGATGTGGATTTAAAAAATAAAAAGAAATTTGCTGGTAAGTAAACCTGGTCTAGAGTGCTAGTTGTGATCCTTCTGGATAAAATCCCCCTCCTCCTCTTGTCCCCTTTAATCTTTAGAAGACTCAGAAGTCATAAGGATCATTTAGTTCTAGAAATGGACCATTGAAATTTCGCCAAATAGCCATATTAGTGTAACATTTCACCTGTTGATCCATATATTTATGATAATATGCAACTTATCTTGGCATTTAAAAAAACTGGAATATGGTCCTGAAAGTGTGAAATGTACATACTCAATTTTAATAAAAATTACAGAATGTGTATGAAACATAGGTAGGAAATACAACAAGAAGGTGGATTAAGACTCTAGATACCTTGCATATCTACAAGAAATTTTTAGAAGGCAGCAAAAATTAAGATTCTATAAATAAGAAAATGGAATGGAAAAGGGATAGTTTATATTAAAAGTAGATAAAATATATAACAGAATGTATAAAAATGGAAAGAAATATTCAGTGCTTACTGGCCTGATGACTATCCTCTCCTTATTATCCACCATCTCTTTTCTCTAATGTACAAGTAAAGACTGAAATATATATAAAAAAAGTTTGTTCCTTAACATAGAATAAAGTCATGCTGATTGTGCAAGACTGGACACAATTTCTTTAATCTACCAATTGCTAGTATCTATGTTTATAAGTTGCCCTTATTAGAAGATGAAACATTTCTCTTTCTTCACTAGAATCTTGACATCACTGTTTCTAGTGTTTCATGAATCCATAGGTGCTTTTAATGTTTATTCCATTCTTTATATGTTTTAAAAGTGAAAATTCATGTTTTCTGATAGTTTAAATTTGTACTTTTTAAAGGGAATAATATGTATACCCATATTTTAGTGTGTTTATTGTTAACAACTCCAATTATAAAATGAAAGGTTTTTTTGTAAACTGAAGATTTGATGAAGAGTTGATATATACTTAAGTTTCTATTTACATAAACAAAACTGCTATAATCTTCAAAATATCTGATTTTCCAAAATTGTAGCTCACTATAATAATTAGATAATAATTTCACATCCAAGCTTTGTTTATTATTAGGTAGAGAATTTTAGGTGCTTTCCTGTGCAGAGGATTCCGATTAGTTACGTAAGAAGGAAGATATAACCTTGAAGGAAAGTACTTACTTTGTAAGTTGCTGAAGTTGAATTTTTCAGTTGTCATGCATTTTTTGTCATTCACAAATGAGAAATAACATAAGCTTATAAATGATGTCAGGGTAGAAAAATCATGATTCTGGCTAACAAGTGGATTATGTAGCAGCAAATATAAAATAGCATTTGGGTTCTTTCAAACTATTAATATTCTTGATAAGCTTTTGAACTCTGAACACGTGTTTAGAATGCTAACACTGTTGTCAACCTGTCACTGCTTATTTGTAGCTAGCTTGTCTCTTGGAGTGGGGACAGACATTTGTTTTTCATGTGGTATGTCGGGAGTATGAACTGGAAAGACCTAAATCAGTAATAATATGTCAGCATGGATTTGACCGTCGGTTCTGTGAATCCAAGGTATGTTAACAAATGTTAGCAGTATTATAAACATCTATGGATTTTTTAAAATGAAAGATTGAGATATCAGTTTTAAATCAAATACACAGCCATGAAGTAAACATTATAGTTCAGTTTTCTCAATTAATAAAATTATTTTGCAGATTTGCAGCCAGTTGTTACTTAGTTGCAAGTATCTAACATAGGAGGTAATTATTAAAACATAAATTCACAGATAAATGGAGATGTTATAAAGATTATATCTTACCTCTTACATTTTTACTGTTAACTCTCATGTTTTCTTGTGTTATTACATTCTTTTGGATATCACTATGTATTTATGTAGAAGATTTAGAAACTGAAGCAAGAGGAAGGTTAAATTCCTTACATGACATTGTTTATCGACCTCCCTGGAACATACCTCTTCTTTTGTAATGTGGTCAGTAATGTTGGCATTTGCCAAGAAAACATGGCAGTTTAAAAAAATTTTTTTTTATCCTGGTTCTATAACATAGAGATAACCATTGTAAACAGTTTCATTTTCCTTTCTAATTTCTTCCCTATATGTGTTTATCCTTTTGTTCTTTTGTTATACATACTATGTTTATTTACTGTTATATTAGTGTGAATTGAAAACAAATCATTCTGCTTTTAATTTTATGTCCAAAATATCTATAACCTCTGCTTCTTTACCAGCAATAAAGGAAACCGCTATAATTGGTGATAAAATTATTTTTTTCTTGTTATAAACACATTGCCAGGATCTAGGGAATCCTTAATTATATGTCAACCAATTATTCCTTATGGATAAATCACACATACTTGTAGGTGTCTCCTTTTTTTTAACGATTCAAAGCTTTTATGTTGCATTAAAATTTTTAAAAATCGAACATTTTTTATCACCTTAGAAAATTACTTTGTGTCCCTTTGCAGTCAGCCATTCATTATTCCGTGCAACCACTGATGTGCCTCTGTCATTTTAGATCAGGGTTTTTTAGGTCTATTTTGTGTGGGGGAAATCAGACATACCTTGTTTGATTGTGCTTTGCAGATACTGTGGTTTTTGTTGGTTTGTTTGTTTTTTAACAAGTTGAAGGTTTGTGGCAACTGTGCCGCAAGCAAATCTATCAACCATTTTTCCAAGAGCATTTGCCCACTTTATGTCTCTATGTCACATTTTGGTAATTCTTGCAATATTTCAAACTTTGTCATTATTATTATTTGTTACAGTGATCTATGAATAGTGCTTATGACTGGCTGAAAGCTCAGATGATGGTTAGCATTTTTTATCAATAAAAACATGTACATTTTTCCTAGACATAGGCTGTTGCACAGACTATAGTATAAAGTGTAAACATAACTTTTATATGCACTGAGAAACCAAAAAATTCATTTTTTAATCTTTAATAGTATTTATTTATTTTTAATTTTTATTTTAATTCCAATATAGTTAACATATAGTATTATGTTAATTTCAGGTATACAATGTAGTGATTCAAAAATTCCATATATTACTCAGTGCTTATCAAGTGTACTCTTAATCCCTTTCACCTATTTCACCTATCCCCCAGCCCACTTACCTCTGGTAACCATCTGTTTGCTCTCTATTGTTAAGGGTCTATTTTTTTTATTTGTCTCCCTCTCTTTTTTCCCCTTTGTCCATTTGTTTCTTAAATTCCACATATGAGTGAAATCATATGGTATTTGTCTTTCTTTGGCTTATTTCGCTTAGCATTATACTCTAGACCCATACATGTTGTCACAGATGGCAAGATTTCATTCTTTTTTATGACTAATATTCCAGTGTGTGTGTGTGTGTGTGTGTGTGTGTGTGTGTGTGTACACACCACATTATATTCTCTAGATTTAACCATGTTGTTCTAAATGGTAAGGTTTCATTCTTTTTTTTATGTCTAATATTCCA